TCAGAGTCAGCCACAGCTTGTTGTGATCCACCCAGTCAAAAGCCTTTGCATAGTTAATGAAACACAGATGGCCATTCTTCTGGCACTCTCTGCTTCCTGCCAAGATCCCTAGTACCATGACCTCTTCTAAATCCAGCCGTACATCTGGCAGTTCTCTTTTGATGTATTGCTCCAGTCGTTTTGGGATAATTTTCAGCAGAATCTTGCTTGCATGTGATAATAATGATATTGTTCGATAATTTCCGCATTCTGTCAGGTCACCTTTCTTTGAAATGGGAACAAATATCAATCTCTTCCAGTCAGTTGGCCAGCTGGCTATCCTCCAGATTTCTTGGCATAACTTAGTGAGCATATCCAGGGCAGCATCTGTTTGTTGAAATACGTCAATTGTTATGCCGTCAACTCCTGGAGCCTTGTTTTTGCCAATTCTTTCACAGCAATTTGAACTTTCTCGTTTATCACCACAGGGTCTTGCTCATATGTTATTTCATTAAATTCTTCTTTGTCAGCCAATTCCTTCTAATACAGTGACTCTGTGTACTCCTTCCATTTTCTTTTAATGCTTCTTGGATCATTTAACATTCTAACCAAAGCATCCTTAAGTATGACCACTTGTGGCATGAATTTGTTTCTCAACTCCTTCAGCTTAAGAAATGCTAAGCGAGAAAGATCGGTCCTTGGAGAGGGACATCATGTTTGGGAGAGTGGAGAGACAGCACAGGAGAGGAAGACTCTCGATGACATGGATCGATTCTGTGATTGGTGTGGTGGGAGTAAGTTTGTCGGAGACAGTTAGGTTGGCACAGAATAGACCAGGATTTAGGGCTCTTGTACATAGGATTGCTATGAGTCAAAAGTGACTCAACAGCACATAACAACAATAAATCATAAATGGCACCCAGGTGTTAAGCTAGGGTCAAAGGTAATATGGTGAGAGACAGGAATTAAAATGAGAGGCAGAGCTGGGAAAAGAAAGAAAGGAAGTGAAAAAATTACTTTAACATGTTGAATATGAAGTGAAGGACAGCAAAATAAAGTATTTTTTAATCTTTCTGTGGCAAGGAAAGGTCCTAAAATCATTTGACTAAATAGCAGAAGAGGTTACGGTGTTCAGAAAGACTACTAGGCTGGGAGTTAGAATCATGAACTCATTTAATGGCCCTGAAACTGACCAGATACATAATTCTGGACAAATCAGGCTAGACTTTCTAAGTGTCACCTATAAAACAGGGAGGTTGGACATCTTTTAGTGTAATATAATGAAAACTCTCAGTGAAAATGGCCACAAAGAATTTTTGATTGATTATACAAATAATTTAATACTTTTAAAAAAAATACTATACTGCCATTGATTACAAAGGGAGATAGGAGAGTAACCCTTGGGCACAGGGAACAACAGGAAATACAGAACTTGAAGTCACTCACACAGGAACGACAGTCTGAGGTCACGAAATGAATGGGCTCATTTAAAGAGTATCATAAAGAGCAGAAGAACGGCAGTCTGCACGCCCGCTCTTCCGCTCTTGTATTCTTGCTGACATCTGCGCCACCTCCGCGGCCGCCATGAGGGAGATCGTGCACCTGCAGGCCGGACAGTGCGGAAACCAGATCGGCGCCAAGTTCTGGGAGGTGATCAGCGACGAGCATGGCATCGACCCTACCGGCACCTATCACGGCGACAGCGATCTGCAGCTGGAGCGGATCAACGTGTACTACAACGAGGCCACCGGTGGCAAGTACGTGCCTCGTGCCGTCCTGGTGGACCTGGAGCCGGGCACCATGGACTCTGTGCGCTCCGGGCCTTTTGGGCAGATCTTCCGGCCTGACAACTTCGTTTTTGGTCAGAGTGGTGCTGGGAACAACTGGGCCAAGGGTCCCTACACAGAGGGTGCGGAGCTGGTGGACTCTGTGCTGGATGTCGTGAGGAAGGAGGCAGAGAGCTGTGACTGTCTGCAGGGCTTCCAGCTGACCCACTCCCTGGGGGGGGGGGGGGGGAGGACCGGGTCCGGCATGGGCACTCTCCTCAAGAGCAAGATCCGAGAGGAGTACCCAGACGGCATCATGAACACCTTCGGCGTGGTACCCTCGCCCAAGGTGTCAGACACGGTGGTGGAGCCCTACAATGCCACCCTTTCGGTCCACCAGCTGGTGGAGAACACAGACGAGACCTACTGCATCGACCCCTGTACGACATCTGCTTCCGCACCCTCAAGCTGACCACACCCACCTACAGTGACCTCAACTACCTGGTGTCGGCCACTATGAGCGGTGTTACCACCTGCCTGCGCTTCCCGGGCCAGCTCAACGCCGACCTGCGCAAGCTGGCCCTCAACATGGTGCCCTTGCCACGCCTGCACTTCTTCATGCCTGGCTTTGCCCCTCTCACCAGCCGCGGCAGCCAGCAGTACCGGGCCCTGACCGTGCCTGAGCTCACCCAGCAGATGTTTGACGCCAAGAACATGATGGCTGCCTGCAACCCGCGCCACGGCCGCTACCTGACTGTCGCTGCCGTCTTCAGGGGCCGCATGTCCATGAAGGAAGTGGACCAGCAGATGCTGAACGTGCAGAACAAGAACAGCAGCTACTTCCTCGAGTGGATCCCCAACAACATCAAGATGGCCGTTTGCGACATCCCTCCCGCCCCGGGGGCTCAAGATGTCTGCCACCTTCATCGGCAACAGCACGGCCATCCAGCAGCTGCTCAAGCGCATCTCGGAGCAGTTCACCGCCATGTTCCGGCGCAAGGCCTTCCTGCACTGGTACACGGGCGAGGGCATGGACGAGACGGAGTTCACTGAGGCCGAGAGCAACATGAACGACCTGGTGTCCGAGTACCAGCAGTACCAGGACGCCACGGCCGAGGAGGAGGGCGAGTTTGAGGAGGAGGCTGAGGAGGAGGTGGCCTAGGGCCTCAGCAGGAGCCGTGTGAACTCTTTTATTGGTCTCAGCCTGTCCTGATGCGTGTCTCACTGTCCTGTCTCACATGCTGTACAGACACCGCATTAAAGCGTTTTCATAGTGAAAAAAAAAAAAGAGCAGAAGAATAAGAACTGAGCCCTGAAGAAAGCCTGCAGCTGGGGATGCCAAAATAAAGAGTTAGTGATGGAAGGAGAACAAGTACTTAAACAAGAGAGAAACAAGTTAGATAAATCACATCAGGTCCATTAAAAAAAGAATACATTTTAAGAAACAGAAATCAGAGTCAAGAGCAAAATTCAAGAAAGGTCACTGGATTTTCCAACAAGGAGATCTCAGATAACGTGAAAGAAATTAATTTAGGATAGCAGTAAGACAAAAAAAATGGGCCACAAGGAATAAACGAAGAAATATATAGGCAAAATTGCCTCTGAAAACTGGCCGGAGGGTCGGCTATGGGTCAGTTCTGACTCTACAATAAACAACAACATGGGTGCTTCAGTGGTCTAGTGGATAAGGAGTTGGACTGCTAACTCAAAGGCAAGCAGATTGAATCCACAAGTGCCTCCACAGGAGAGAGATGAGCAATCTCTTTCCATGTGGTTTTAAAGTCTCCAAAAACCCGCTGAAGGGTCAGCTATCAGTTGGTTCCACCTTGACAGCCATGAGTGAGTGAGTAATGCTGCCTATGGAAGCACAATGATATTAGTCTAAAAGACTTACTATCATACAGATATTATAAAAAATTAGTTACCCTATTAAGGAGCTCTGGTAGCCGGTGGTAAGAAACTGCACTGCAATCCTGAATACACATGGTTCAAATCCACCAGCTGCTCTGGGGGAGAAGGATGAGCAATTTCCCTTCGTGTGATTAACTGCCTCTGAAAACCTGCTGGAGGGTTAGCTATGGGTTGGTTCTGACTCAATGGTATACAACACAACCACCATGGAGCTGGTGGCCTAGTGTTAAGAACCTGCACTGCAATATTAAAGGCACGTGGTTTGACTTTACCAGCTGCTCCATGGGAGAAGGACGGGCAGTCTCTTCCCACGCCTCTGACAACCCAGGGGACTGTCAGGTGTAAGTCAGTTTTGAATTGACATCACACACCACAACAACAGGGAGCTAACCTAATGTTTAAGACTTATTATTCAAGGGCGCTCTGGTGGCCTAGTGGCAAGAAGCTGCACTGTAATCCCAGAGGTATGTGGTTCAAATCCACCAGATGCTCTGCTGGAGAAGGAGGGGCAATCTCCTCCTGTAACAGCCAGATCCAATTTGACAGAACACACAAAAAAATAATAGCATTTTATTTAAAAAAGATTTATTATTCAGTATCAAGATCTCTTCAGCTGGCACATGGCAACATTTTCTTTCCACTTTACAAGGACACAAGCTAGTTGAATTATCAAGAGGACCAATATCTAATAAGTATACAGGGAAAAAACCAAGAAGCAACTACTCACAATACTCCTTCACCTCTCTGTTCTCCAATCACTACTTGCACCACCATTTTATATCGGTCAAATCCCATTTCTAGAAAGAAAAAGTAAGACAATTATAAGCAAATATACTTACTGAATAAGTAAATACAATAAATAGGTAAAAATATTTATTAAAGGCAAATTTGTTCAGAAACAGGGAAAAGCATTTAGTCCACAATTACTTGCTAAATATGATGGTATACTTGGGAGTCAGAGAGAAATGAGGAAAAATTCAACAAATGTACTATGAAAATTTATTTAGATTAATTATTAAACTTTTCAGCTTAGGTAAATCTTTTCTGTTAAGTGGAAATCTCATCACTTACTCTTAGGGAGGGTGCTCTGTTGGCTCAGTGGTGAGGAGTTAGTCTGCCAACCTGAAACTGTATGGTTTGAATCTACCAGCTGCTCTGTGGGAGAAAGATAGGCAATCTCTTCCTGTGCAACTTACAGCCTCTCAAAACCCACTGGAGGGTCAGCTGTGAGTCAGTTCCAATTCAACAATTCCCAACACAAAAAAATCACAATAGGAGGAGCCTGCTTATAACTCTGTCATGAAACTACTGGTAGATGAAACTTTTTTTTTCATTTTTAAATATTTCAGAGTGTGTGTTTGTGTGTGTACCGTCAAATCGGATCTGACTGCCACAGGAAGATTGCCCTTCTTTCTCCAGCAGAGCATCTAGTGGATTTGAACCGTGTACTTCTGGAACTGCAACACAGCTTCTTGCCACTAGGCCACCAGAGCTCCCTGAAGGATTAAACTACATTTAAAATAGGGCTGACACAGTGTCTCTCAATAAAATTCCGTTTCCTTCCTTTCCCTCCTACTCTAAATTAGGTATCGAGCTAAAAGCCATCAAGATAGAGAAAAACGTAGGACCTCCTCTTGCCTTAAAGAGCACAGAGCAGTCACAGGAAGGTAAATGTGAAAAATAGAATAAAACTTCTATACTGCCTGATAGGAGAAGCTCAGTATCAGCTGTGAAAACTAGACCAGGAGCTGACTGTGGAACAGACCACTAACTACTCATATGCAAGTTCAAGCTGAAGCTGAGGAAAATTAAACTGAATCCACAGGAGCCAAAATATGACTTTGATTTCATCCTACCTGAATTTCAAATCATCTCAGGAACAGGTTTGAGGCCCTGAACACTAATGAGCGAAGACCAGATGAGTTGTGGGGGGATGTCAAATGTATCATCCAGGAAG